GGGTGCGAGGGTCACCACGAGAGGCTCCTACTGCGACTATGCTCTTCTCCGCTGCTAGGAGGGCCTTCTCTAAGAGGTCAACAGTGAGAGTGGTGGGACAGACTGAGAGGAAGTGGTCCCTGACTACACGAAGGGAGTCAGGGAGGCGGGTGACTATATAATAGAGAGTGATGTACATGGGGGGGGGGTTCTTGGCGCAGAACTCAGCAGGAAGCGCGGCGCGGTAGCGAGTGTCAGTAGTGCGGAGGTGCGTAATGAGGTCAGCGACTGTGGGAAAGGCAGCAAGGTCAAGGAAGAGGTACGGTAGCATGAGGCGGCTCAGTGCAGCAGTGGCAGGGGAAGAGTAGCGCGCAACTACAGCGTCGTACAAGGTCTGAGCACTCTTGTACTGACTAAAGTGCGCGCGCTCAGTGGTAGGCAGGTGGCGACGCACAGCAAGACGTGCAGCATCATCGCGCGTGGCCCACTGGGAGCGAACAGTGGGGTCAGCATCAGCAGCAGGGGCAGGAGAGGCGCCAGAGGTGAGGTCAAAGAGAGAGAGACCGTCTGCCCTATCGCACTGTAAGAACAGCTGCAGGTCGTCGACCCAGACCTCAAAGTCAATGGCTCGACCCTCAGCGTCAAACGCGAGGACACTAGGGGTAGTCATGACAACAGTAGACTAGCAGGACCAACTGTAGGACAGGGGCAGTGCAGTGACAGAAGCGCTGCTCTCACCAGACAGGGCAGTTCGGGCAGCTCAGTAGCACAGCAACACGGCAACACGGCTGCTCGGACGGCTCAGCAGCAACTGCGGCTCCGCGGCACCAGCGGCTCGGCTCCTCAGGCGGCTCGGGCGGCTCGGGCGGCTCGGGCGGGTCGAGCGGCTTGGGAGGCTCGGCTCCTCAGGCGGCTCGGGCGGCTCGGGCGGCTCGGGCGGGTCGGGCGGCTCAGGCGGCTCGGCTCCTCAGCGGCTCAGGCGGCTCGGGCGGCTCGGGCAGGTCGGGTGGCTCGGGCTGCTCGGGCGGCTCGGCTCCTCAGCGGCTCAGGCGGCTCGGGCGGCTCGGGCGGCTCGGGCGGCTCGGGCGGCGCGGGCGGTGTAGGGCGGTAGGGCCGCTAGTAGGGCGGCGGGGCCGCAAGGTAGGTGGCGGGGCCGCAGTGGGAGGGGCGGCAGGGCCGGAGTGAAGGGCGGCGGGGCCGCCGTGAAGGGCGGCGGGGCCACTGAGAAGGGTGGCGGGGCCGCAGTGAGAGAGGCGGCGGGGCCGCAGAGAAGGGCGGCGGGGCCGCTGAGAAGCGCGGCGGGGCCGCAGCGAGAGAGGCGGCGGGGCCGCTGAGACGGGCGGCGGGGCTGCAGCGAAGGGCGGCGGGGCCTCAGTGTGAGGCGGCGGGGCCGCAGGGAAGGGCGGCGGGGCTGCAATGTGAGGCGGCGGGGCCGCTGAGACGGGCGGCGGGGCCGCAGTGAAGGGCGGCGGGGCCGCAGTGAAGGGCTGCGGGGCCGCAGCGAAGGGCGGCGGAGCCGCAGCGAAGGGCGGCGGGGCCGCAGCGAAGGGCGGCGGGGCCGAATCGACGGGATGCGGGGCCGCTAGGGCGTTTGGGGCCGCTAGGGCGGCTCGACGAAGTGAGAGCCCGGAGCGCGACTCGGGCTGAGCGCGCTTCGGGCAGGAAAAAAAAAACTCGATGTGGTGGGCCCTAGGCACAGCTCCCACGGGGGAACCTGCTCGATACCATGAGGAAATTATGTCAGAATGTTATGTTATCTAGCCTGCAGTGGGGTGCTCCATAGCGAGTACAACCCAGTTAGGGTTTGCTATTTGTATCCAACTGCTTGCTAGTGAACCTCCTCTTTCTTCTAATTTTGTCATGCTATCAGAGCAGGTCGATCCCCTTGGATCGATCCTGTGGGTGGGTTACCACCTCCTCGCTTCCGCTGCTACTTTTTCTTCCCGCCGTGCGCCCCGAGGCGCGCGGCGGTTTTCTGCCCGCCGTGCGCCCCGAGGCGCGCGGCGGTTCTCTGCCCGCTGTGCGCCCCGAGGCGCGCGGCGGGCTTCTGCCCCGTCGTTCGCCGCGTCGCCCTCTGAAGGCGCCGCGACGGGCGACGGGGACCAGTCGCGGCCCCGCCGCCCCACTTCGCGGCCCCGCCGCCTCACGTCGCGGCCCCGCCGCCTTACGGTGCGGCCCCGCTGCCACATTTCGCGGCCCCGCCGCCCCACTTCGCGGCCCCGCCGCCCTTCTGTCGCGGCCCCGCCGCCCCACCTTCGCGGCCCCGCCGCCCTACACCTGTGGCCCCGCCGCCCTCCTTGCGCCCCGACCCCATTTCCCGTCGCCTGTCGAGGCGACCCTCGGGGGCCGCTTGCGGGCGGGCGAGCGCCGCCATCCCACCCTTCCTACCCGCCATCCCACCCTGTCTGTGTTAGGGTTTGGGGGTGGCAAGCAGGGGGTGGCGAGTATGGGGGTGTCACTTCCTCATTCCTCCCTTTGCTCCTCCTCCTTTGTCTCCCACTGCTGCAGCTGTCGCTGAGGGGGGTGGATGAGTGGGAGACTGGGGTTTAGGGTTTAAGGGGGGGTGCCTTGGGAGTGGAGCTAGGGGTGAAACTGGGGGTGTGTGTGGGGGGTGTGGGACTGCTTGGGGAGGCTGAGAGGAGGCTGCCGTCTTGTCGTCCGCAGCACCTGTAGTCCGGGGCGCTGTCCTGGTAGCTCAGAGAGCCTGCTGCGCCTGTCGCCCGTGGGTCCGTTGCTCCTGTAGCTCGTCGTAGCCCGTGAGCCAGTTACTCCAGTAGTCCGGGGCGCTGTCCCGGTAGCCACTGTGCCAGCCGCTCCTGTAGCCCGTGTATCTGCAGCTTCAGCCGTCGTCTCCCATCTTCTCTCCTCTCACAGTCCCTCCTCCTCCTCACTTGCCCGCTGTGACTACCACTAGCTTTGCTCATAATTGTGAACTTTAAACTGTTGCTTCTTGTAATTGTGCTCAGAATGCGTGGTGACATTGTGATCCACCCTGAGCTTGTTCTGGTTTGCTTACTGTGCTGATTACACCCCACTTTGGCTATGGGGGTGTGTCAGAATGTTATGTTATCTAGCCTGCAGTGGGGTGCTCCATAGCGAGTACAACCCAGTTAGGGTTTGCTATTTGTATCCAACTGCTTGCTAGTGAACCTCCTCTTTCTTCTAATTTTGTCAAATTAGAACGAGAATGAAATGACTATGGAATGAAAGTGATACAAATATGCAACCCTAGAAATGTGTACCCCATATGGGCTACCCCACTAAAGCCTAGACAACATTATAATTTGACAACTTGTGCACCAACCGAACCCAGTCTAGATGAAATGAAAGTCGGGGAAAGTGCTTGTACACCTAACCACCGCTATTTTCAAAGGGAAACCCAACCCACTAATCTCGCGTTTCAAAGTTATCCTGCACATTTTCGACTATTTCAGTTCGACACTTAAAAGACTGGGGCTATGAATGACGCCTAATGCTCGAAGTTTAAACTCATTATGCGAATCTGAATCCATAGCGCCACTTCTACGGTACTCTCTTCGGGGATCTGGAACGGACTTTCGCTAAAATTTAATGATGCCCCACACAACCTTCGGTCAAAGATTTAGAAAAGGTTCATACCCCACTTGTGCAAGTGGGGTTGAAAATAGACTGAAAGAAAATAGCGGTGGTTAGGTGTACCAAGTCTGCTTCCACATGGCTGCACGCGTTAAGGTGTACGCATCTCCACCAACCGTCTCAGAATTCATCGGATTGCACCACACCATACAAATGTTCTTGCTTAGAGTCCCAGTAAAAAACACACGCGGTGCGGGCCTTTGTGGAAAAACCTTCAAACCACAGGCAAACGGGACCCTATACTCCCATATTCAGTAAAATTGCATGGAAATCGGTTTTGCTTCGCTAATGGTTGGTGTTTCATGTCATATACGTGTCAGTAGAGCTACACTGTGAGATCCGCGATCGATCCTTGGGGGGGTTACAGGCGCGGTTGCCTGGGGGGTTATGGGCGCACTGACCCGCTACTGAAACAAGCCCTTTTATCCCAGTGGTCTAGTGGTTGGGATTCTGACAATACGTACCAGTTCGGAATGCGCTTGATTCAACTTCTTGTCGCAAGATTCTCCACGGTCATCAGTGTTGCATGACTGACGGGCAGAAAAAACAAAATCGTTTATGTTTACGGAATTAATGAAAGGAAATATGATTTGTTTTTCCCTGTCATCGTCGAGCGCGCAGAGAAACGCTCGACGGGATTGAGAAGTAAGCGCAGTCAAGAGAAATAATCAGAAATAGTTTCACATTTAAATATCAAAACGAAATTTCCTTCCCTCGCATTTTCCTGGGCTGGTTCGATTTGGGCCCTCTGATTGGCTGCGGAACTGATCCTCAGTCAAGCTGCATAATTTCCCGCCAAAAAGGGGACTGTAGAGGAGGGGCTTTACGTAGGAAATATATGAAAAATCTACAAGACGGGGAAAATGGGCTCTCTTAGGAAGGGCTTCTAAGCCAGAACATCTGTACTGAAAAAACAGCTTTTTTCAGCCATCCCAAAAGTCCTGCCAAGCCTGCCCTCACCACCAACCGCATCCGTCGCGTCGCATGTCCTACAACCGAATCTATGAGGTTCGGGTGCAAACCCTCCGCCCTCCTGCAGAAACCCGAACCAGAATAACCATACCTTGCTTCCTTCCTAGTTAGAAACGCTATCACACAACAGCTCGTCAGCTTGTGTCACACACACTAACGTGCTACTGAATTAGCGACTCGTACGGTGTAGGACGACTCGCGATAGTACGGCGTGGAATCACGAGTACGACGTCGTTTGTAATTAGTTTTTTTGTCGCTAACGTAATGATGGGATCCTTTCCAGAGTCTTTCTACATGTAGCGAGCATGTGTCCAAATTATTATATTTCGCAAATAGGTGACTCCACCGCCTCCAACATGTATCGCTAGAACCACGAGCACGCACCCGTGGACCAATCGTGCTATTAATAGCGATAGAGAATTCTCCGCGCAGCGATGCACGAGCGGGAAGCGGAGCGGCTGCTGAAGGCGGAGAGGAGGGCGGCGAGCAGCGCTCGCCAAGTCGCGCCCCCCGCTAGCCCTGCTCAACGCGGCACACAAACACCGCCCTTCTCCGGCAGTGTTGTGTCGCCATCCGTCATCGCGCTATCGACCCCCCTCTCGCCCCCGCACGCGCCCTCACACGAACCACCGCCGCCAGCGCGCCACCTTGCTCCCTTGCACAGCCCCACTCCCGCGCACGCCGCCGCTGACGCCAGCCCGTCGCCTCGTGGCCCGCCTCATGGCGCGTCGCCCCTCGCGCCTCTCGCACAGCAGGGTGCCGGCGGAGACTCCAAATCATCGCCGTCGCGCCACGTGCAGCGCGTGTTCGTGTCGCTCATCGTGGTCTTCGCCGCGTCGCTGCTGCTCCTCTCGCAGCTCCCCTTCATCATCTCCGTGCTGTCCCCCTTTTTGTCGCCGTTCGATATAAGCGTGGAGGAGGCGGAGCAGGTGGAGCAGGCGGGGGCGGCGCAGGTGGGCGGCGTGTGGTCGCAGCTGCGGGAGCACCGCGGCAGCCTCGCGCTGCTCTTCCTCACGCGCGGCCCCATCCCCCTCGCTCCGCTCTGGGAGAAATTCCTCCGGGTGCGTCGCTGCCTCATGCGACTCCCCCCTGCGGCCCCCCTCTTCGTGCCTCCCCCCTCGTGCCTCCCCCCTCGTGCCTCCCCCCTCGTGCCTCCCCCCTCGTGCCTCCCCCCTCGTGCCTCCCCAATCGTGCGTCCCCCCATGCCACATGCGCCATGCCCCATGCCACATGCGCCATGCCCCATGCCTCATGCGCCATGCCCCATGCGCGACGCAAAAAGTGGCATGTCGATTGCATGAGCGGTACTAGGTATTCTCTTGGGATTTATGGACGCCTTTTCCTGTCTTGCCACTCACATCACATGCATATCGCCCTCTATCGCACCGTGTCGAACCCCCTTCCCCCCCCCAGCCTCCTGTACACACTCTCCCTCCCCCTCCCCCCCAAACGTCCCTTTTCACTTCCTCCCCTCCCCCTCTTCCCCTCTCCCCCCTCCACCGACCTGCTTCCCGTCCCCCTCCTTCCCCCCTTCTCCCCGCTCCCCCTCCTCCCCGCATCCCCCCCCAGGGCCACGAGGGGCGCTATGCCATATACGTGCATGCGTCCAACACGTCCTTCTCCTTCCCGCCCGGCTCCTCGCCCCTCTTCCGCGGCCGCCTCGTGCCGGGTGGAGAGGTGAGCCTTGTGCGCCATGGGATGATGGGCATGTGGGGTGATGGGCATGGGGGGTGATGGGCATGGGGGGTGATGGGCATGTGGGGTGATGGGCATGGGGGGTGATGGGCATGTGGGGTGATGGGCATGGGGGGTGATGGGCATGGGGGGTGATGGGCATGTGGGGTGATGGGCATGTGGGGTGATGGGCATGGGGGGTGATGGGCATGGGGGGTGATGGGCATGTGGGGTGATGGGCATGGGGGGTGATGGGCATGTGGGGTGATGGGCATGGGGGGTGATGGGCATGGGGGGTGATGGGCATGTGGGGTGATGGGCATGTGGGGTGATGGGCATGGGGGGTGATGGGCATGGGGGGTGATGGGCATGTGGGGTGATGGGCATGGGGGGTGATGGGCATGTGGGGTGATGGGCATGGGGGGTGATGGGCATGGGGGGTGATGGGCATGTGGGGTGATGGGCATGGGGGGTGATGGGCATGGGGGGTGATGGGCATGGGGGGTGGTATCAGATCAATCGGACATCAACAAGTAGCTGCCTTTCGTTGCTCTCCTCTGCGTGCCTCTGCCTGTATTCCTCTGCCTGTGTGCCTCTGCCTTTGTGCCTCTGCCTGTGTGGCTCCCGTGTGCAACCCCATGCACTCTCCTGCTCGCAACACTGCCATGCCATCTGCTCTCACGTGCACCAGGTGCGGTGGGGCAAGATGTCAATGGTGGACGCGGAGAGGTGCCTGCTGGAGGCTTTTTTTGAGGTGCCTCGAAACTAGACTCATGCCACGTGTGACTATCCATGCGTGCACGCGTGGCAGGTGCGGTGGGGCGAGATGTCGATGGTGGATGCGGAGAGGCGCCTGCTGGAGGCGGCGGTGCAGGACGAGGCCAACAGCTTCTTCGCGCTGCTCAGTGAGAGGTGGGGAGCGAGGTGAGAGGTGGGGAGCGAGGTGAGAGGTGGGGAGCGAGGTGAGAGGTGGGGAGCGAGGTGAGAGGTGGGGAGCGAGGTGAGAGGTGGGAGCGAGGTGAGAGGTGGGGAGCGAGGTGAGAGGTGGGGAGCGAGGTGAGAGGTGGGGAGCGAGGTGAGAGGTGGGGAGCGAGGTGAGAGGTGGGGAGCGAGGTGAGAGGTGGGGAGCGAGGTGAGAGGTGGGGAGCGAGGTGAGAGGTGGGGAGCGAGGTGAGAGGTGGGGAGCGAGGTGAGAGGTGGGGAGCGAGGTGAGAGGTGGGGAGCGAGGTGAGAGGTGGGGAGCGAGGTGAGAGGTGGGGAGCGAGGTGAGAGGTGGGGAGCGAGGTGAGAGGTGGGGAGCGAGGTGAGAGGTGGGGAGCGAGGTGAGAGGTGGGGAGCGAGGTGAGAGGTGGGGAGCGAGGTGAGAGGTGGGGAGCGAGGTGAGAGGTGGGGAGCGAGGTGAGAGGTGGGGAGCGAGGTGAGAGGTGGGGAGCGAGGTGAGAGGTGGGGAGCGAGGTGAGAGGTGGGGAGCGAGGTGAGAGGTGGGAGCGAGGTGAGAGGTGGGGAGCGAGGTGAGAGGTGGGGAGCGAGGTGAGAGGTGGGGAGCGAGGTGAGAGGTGGGGAGCGAGGTGAGAGGTGGGGAGCGAGGTGAGAGGTGGGGAGAGGTGGGGAGCGAGGTGAGAGGTGGGGAGCGAGGTGAGAGGTGGGGAGCGAGGTGAGAGGTGGGGAGCGAGGTGAGAGGTGGGGAGCGAGGTGAGAGGTGGGGAGCGAGGTGAGAGGTGGGGAGCGAGGTGAGAGGTGTGCCCACGTGACGGGCCAGGGGGCAGGGGCGAGGGAGGGGCAATGGGTGAGGGGTGAGTTGTGGTGGGGAGGCACGATGTGTTGCTGAGGTGCATGAGTAGAGGCTTGTGTCTGTGAGGGGCGCCTTTCCTCTCATGCCAGGCATGCCTGCTGCACCTCTCACTCCCTTGGCGTGCTTGCTTCACACTCCTGCCATCCACCCATGCACGTGCCACGTTCCAACACCAACCACCCTTGTGTTGCTCAACCGTGGCCTCTATCCCGGGGCGCAATCCCCCATTCCCGACTCTCATTCATAACGTGTTTCCCTTATATCCCACGCACTTGTGCCAGAACCCTCCCTGGGCTTACACCCAAAGCCCCCCATTTCTCTCCTGCCCCGTTCGCTGCATGCCATTTCTCTCCTGCCCCGTTCGCTGCATGCCATTTCTCTCCTGCCCCGTTCGCTGCATGCCATTTCCCCCCAAGCCCATTCCCCTGTGGCGGGCATCACCTGCATCCCTCAGTGGCCCTTTTCTCCATGCCCTCTCTAATACCCTTTCCCCCCTGCTCTTCCCGCGTGCCCATTCCCCCCACACGCCTCATACCTGGCTGGGCGGGCAACAGCTGCATACCCTTGTGGCCGTTTGACTATGTGTACAGCTACATCGCCTCCTCCTCCGCCAGCTTCGTTGACGCGTCAGTGCCGCTCCGCCCCTCCAGCCCTCTCCTCCTCCTCTTCCCTTCTGCCACCCCCTGCTGCTCTTCCTTCTCTTTTCGGCGATGTTGTGTGTATGTGTGCACATCCACTCCACTGTGAGTGTCACATGGTACGGATGTGCCTGCAAGGATGCCACATGGTTGCCCAACGGCTTGATCATGAAGCATGACGCCGCCCGCTTGTGCTGCTTCCCTGATCCGGATTCACCGCTTGTGCTGCTTCCCTGATCCGGATTCACCGCTTGTGCTGCTTCCCTGATCCGGATTCACCGCTTGTGCTGCTTCCCTGATCCGGATTCACCGCTTGTGCTGCTTCCCTGATCCGGATTCACCGCTTGTGCTGCTTCCCTGATCCGGATTCACCGCTTGTGCTGCTTCCCTGATCCGGATTCACCACTGTGTGCTCCCCCACTCCCTGTCCACCGCTGGCAGGTACGCGGACCCCTACAGCACGTCGTTCGGGCGGTACATCCCGCATATCTTCATGCCCGTCATCCGCCGCCACCAGTTCCTCAAAGGCAACCAGGTGCGGTGCTGTGCGGCTCACAGGCAACCAGGTGCGGTGCAGTGTGGCTCACAGGCAACCAGGTGCGGTGCCACTCAAGCCAGGTTTGATAGAATGCTTATTGTCTTGTTCTACATGTACTTAGTGTACCTGTTTTCGTGTTAGGCGCAATGCACACTCATGTATTATATTGTTGCTGTTCTTATGTGTATATCTGCGCCATGACTCCAAAGTTTTGACATTTAAAGAACTGTGTGTGCTCCTGTCATTGCCTTGCCTTGCATATCTTTCACACTCTGATTTCATTCGCATCAATGCGCATGCATGGCACGTGTTGGATGCACATCACCGAATGAACTCCCATCCCATCCCACCACATCACACCGCGTGGCACCGCATGGAGGCAGTGGTTCATCTTGCAGCGGCGGCATGCGGAGGCGGTGGTGGGGGACACGCTGCACTACGCCAAGCACAACCTCAGCTGCGCCGTCAGTCCACCCCCTTTTTCCCTGCCCCCCTTCGTCTCTGCGTGTTACAGCCTCCTCCGTTCCGCTGCTATTCTAGATCATGCGGGCCGTGACAACCTCTCCCTCACATGCATCTTCTGTCGCTGTCCCGTGACCAGCCCTCTTTCATGACCCTCGCATGCCCCATGCACACCTCGTCTCTCATTTTCCGTCTCCCATCCGTGTGACCCCTGCACCTGTGTGCGTGTGTGCAGTTTCGGTTGCAGTGGGGCAAGCTGTGCTGTGCGGATGAGCATTACATTCAAACCTTCTTGCATGTGGGTGTCACGCTCCACACCCCCGCTCACTTGATTCGCTCGCACCACCCATGTGCACTCTTGCAGTTGGAAAGGGAAAATCGCTCTTCTAAGAGGCCCTTTCATGCATGCATCGACCCGCTCATGCATCAACCCCCTCATGCCATCTCACCCACGCCCCACATACCATGGCCCCCCTCCCCCTGCAATGTCTCCCCTGCCACGCTCCTCCCTGCATTCTCCCCCCCACACCACGCCATGGCCTTCCCTGCCATGCTGCTGCGCAGATGACAGACCCTCGCGGCATATCGCGCTACCCCACCACGTTCACGGACTGGAGTGCCAACGACTGGCACCCCTCACTCTACCTGGGCGCCAACATGACAGACCAAGTCATCACCACCATCAAGGTCCCCTCACTCTCTGCCTGCCGCCTGTCACGGACACGCCTCCTGTGCTCTCTGCTGCTTACATGTCCACCCCCTCTTGCAGCCTGCAGTAAATGCTATGTGTCGCTTGCCATCTGCTGTGTCATCGATCCATCTCCCTGGAATTCCAATGCCCTCAACGTGCCATCTCCCTGGAATTCCAATGCCCTCAACGTGCCATCTCCCCTCGCCACTGCCCTGCGTCCTCCTCTCTCCCGGCACGCCTGCGGCAGACGGCAAGGCAGTTCATCACGTATCGCTCTTTCTGGCAGGACTTCAAGTCCAACTACTCCCATGTGCGTGCCGTTCCCTTGTATGCGTGTGCGTGTGTTGCCTTTGTATGTATGTGCGTGTGTGTGTGTGCCGTTCCTTTGTTGGCATCATGCATGTCTTGTTGGCATCATGCATGTCTTGTTGGCATCATGCATGTCTTGTTGGCATCATGCATGTCTTGTTGGCATCATGCATGTGCGTGCAGTGCACCAATGGTTGGGTGCACCCGCCATGTATGCATCTCAACTCGATCCACACAATATGCGTCTTCCTTCCCCACCCATCCCACATCTCCTCTCCACTCCCCCGCCTCCTGTTATGCGCCACCCCCCACCATTGGCCCCTTCCCTCCCATGTGCGCAGATAACCAACCCCTCTGCACCGCAGCCTCCTCTGGTGAGTCCTCCGCCACCCATCCACACACTGCATGCTCCTCCCTCCGCGCCTCTCCTTCTCCTCGCCCGCACGTAATTCTCCCTTTCCCAAACGGCCCATGAGTCGACTCAAAGCTCGCCTCTCCCGCTCCCCGTCCACCCGTGAGTGGCTCTCCCCACCAGGCGGTGGGCAACGGGCATTGTGTGCTGGGGGGGGAGCCGCGCAACTGCTTCCTCTTTGCGCGCAAGTTCCACCCCTCCACACTACCCTTCCTCATGCGCAAGTCCCAGCAGCTCCTCGGCTTCTAGGGCTGCCCCACCCAGGCACCTCTCATTCTGAGTCGGCTAAGAGCATCGGCTGCCTAGTCGGACAGGCACCTCTCGTGCCTAGAGAGTAGCCTGGAGCATTGGAGTCATCACCATTTCCTGGTTGTATGTCGTGTAATGATCTAAAATGCTTGGTGCTGCGATGCAATGTCTGACAAAGCACCTGTTTTCATGTGTAAAAGTAGCATCGCCTGCGTTTAATGGCCCATTTTCAAATTGGCTGCCAATGGTGGACACCTCATGATATAGCTCAACCGACAAGCGAATCCGCCCGGCGGATCCTGCTGCCCACGGGCAAAAGAAATACCCATTCGGGCTTTTATCCGGTTAGGGAGGCATCAACCCTAAACACAGGGAGGCATGTGTTTAGGGTTGATGCCTCCCTCGGATGGCAATAGGGTTTTAGGCCTTTTCTATCCGCCGGTCAGGTCGACGGTGGTTGACGGCGTCGACTGCCGTGGGAGCCTGTCTGGTTGAGACACTCCTCTGGATGACAGGGTGAACCATCCTCAGGACACAGCGCACAAGGCATGCACATCTCCAGAGTCTTGTTGGGTGCTATGATCCATTCATTCCTTGCAATAACGAGCAAACCTCAGTGTACAAGATACAGTCTCCCAGCAACTAATCAAAACATTACAGAGACCCTAGTCCCCTTGCAAATCTCATGGCACCCACATCTATGTCACCCTACACACCCACCCCTCCCCTCCCCAGGCGTACACCTAGAGCAACCACTCCCCCTCATCACTCCTGGAGCCAGAGCGAGGGCTTGCCGCGGCCTCGTCGGAGGCGGTCAGCGATGAGGAAGGCGAGCTCGAGGCTCTGGGAGGCGTTGAGGCGCGGGTCGCAGTGCGTGTGGTAGCGCGACGACAGGTCGTCAAAGGTCACCTCCTTGGTGCCGCCCACACACTCCGTCACGTTCTGCCCCGTCATCTCCAGGTGCACTCCCCCTGGGTGTGTTCCCAGCTCCTCATGCACGTCAAAGAACGCCCTCAGCTCCGCCTGATGGGGACGGGAAGGTGATGGTCCGGGAGGGAGGTTGAATGAGCGAAAGAGCATGAGCCATGGGTAATCCAAGCGTATTGCTGTGTGGTGCCTTGCCTCGTGTGTCAGGCCGAGGCAATCCACCTCCAAAAAAAAAGCTCACACGCATGGAGACAACTGCAGATGAGCATGCGCACGCACGCACGCACGCACACACACACACACACACACACACACACACACACACACACACATATACACACACACCTACACACAATCATGCACACACATTCAAGCACACACACACACACCCCCACCCCCCCCTGTGGCTCACCCGGATGGAGTTGAAGTCGCGGGTCTTGTAGCCGTTGGGAGCCTTGATGGTGTTGCCGTGCATGGGGTCGGACACCCACGTCACCACCAGCCCCTCGCGCTCCACCGCCTGCACCAGCGCCGGCAGCTTCTCGCGCAGCTTCTCCGCGCCCATGCGCACGATCACTGTGAGGCGGCCGGGGCGGTTGTCGGGGTTGAGGATGTGGCACACCTCCACCAGGTCCTGCGGGGGCATCTTGTCACTCACCTGTGCCGTGGGCGCAGAGGGAGATGCAGCCAGGATAAGACGCAGGTCGAGAGAATAAGTGGTTGGGGGTGTATAGGGGAGAGGGGATACTTTGGAGGCACTGGTGTGTACAGGGTCCACCCCACCAGTACTGGCACTCCACTAACGGCAGCACGGCGCACCACTGCAACTGCCAACCAGTTCCCACCCCCAACACATTCTCGCATGGGACTACCGCTGCCGCTGCTGGGTGTGGCATGAGAGCCTGTTAGAGTGAGAACCCATGTGATAACCGAGTGCATGGCATGGCAGAGCGTGCGCACCTTGATGCCGAGGGGGTTGGCGACGCCGCGGAGGAACTCAATGTGTGCGCCGTCCAGCTGCCGTGTGCGCTCGCCCACCCAGATGAAGTGCGCCGAACAGTCGTACCTGGTGTGATGTGGGGTGAGGGTGGCGAGGGGGGATGGCAGGGAAGTGTGGGGACGATTGAGAAATGGGGCGAGCAAGGGAGAGCGGTTCAGTAAGGGGTGATGGGAGCTACGCGTTGAGGTGCCTCTGGCGAGTTCTCTCAACCACCCAGTATGACGTTCACCTAGGCAGTGGCAGGGGGGAAAGGGATTGACTTCAAAGAGGTCAAACGACGAGCGACAGGCTACGGAGGGGAGAGGAGTGACAGGAGTTGGACTTGGGGCCACTCCAGTGCGCACCAGAGCTCCGCCAATGCCAATCCAACTGACTGTTCTCACGAGGCAGCAGTTGCACTGGGACCACGCGTAGCATCCTCGCCACATCCGATGCGTTCATACTAGGAGGTTGAGGGGTTCAAGCAGGGGGCGTGAGGAGGCGCGGGCGTGGGGCAAGTGCAGAAGACACGCGTGGCAAGTGAGGAAGGGGCGGGTGGCAAGTGAGGAAGGGGCGGGCGGCAAGTGAGGAAGGGGCGGGCTTTAAGTGAGGAGGGGGCGGGCGGCGGGTGGCGAGCGGATGGGTTGGGTGGGGAGGGGAGCTGACCAGCGGCCGGTGGTGGAGTCGATACGGGTGAGCGCCTGCTCGTAGGGAAGCAGCAGGCACTCGTGCGACGTGAAGAAGTCGGTGGAGCGCATGCTGGGGTGCTCCGCCGTCAGCCCGCACGCCGCCATGAACCCCAGCGCCTCATCCACGCGCGACGCCAGCTCCTCGTACCTGCCACGCGCGCGCGCGGCCAGGGGAGAGAGGATGGGGGAGGAGGAGCGGAGGAAGGGAGAAAGGGGGGTAGGAAGGGATGGTAGGGGGAGGGGGAGAAAGGGGTCTTAGGGGATCACTCAGAAAGTCGTTCTGAGAAGGATGTGAATGGAAAGTGGATACGCGCACATGATGGCAGTGGCAGTGGAGCCAAGGCTGTGTCGTGCAGTGCGTCTTCAGCGCATGCTGTAGCGACTCAAACGCACGCTGGCGCGCTGTGCCCCGCGCACGCTGGCGCGCACCGTATCACACGCTGGCGCGCTGTGCGGGTGAGCAGCCAAGTGGTTCGTAACGATGACACGGGCAAGGCGCGGCTTTGCCAAGTGAAGTGGCGAGCGACAGGCTGATGCCCTTCGCCTCCTCCACCTGTTCAATCTGCGGACCTTTGGGAAGGAAAAAGGGTGACTTCACTCGCATTCATTGCAACGCGCCTCGCCCTCCCAAGCAAGCAAGGACCAGCGCCACCTCGAATTCAATCAGCGTCGTCTATTTGTGGTTCGTTCAGCTCACAGCACGGCCTCGTGTCCCCGTTAAATAAGGCTACTAGCAGCCCCCCTGGATGCCTGCTGGCTCACCTGGACGTCTGGCATCTCCGTTTCGAGAAACTCTGGCGAAGGTGGCATGAATGCGCATCGCGATAACACAAACCTTGACTCAGGGGTTACTCCCGCGCGCCGTTACTATCGACCTGCTCGCAGACTCAGCTCGAGAATACCGACTCACCAAAAGGTCGGTGCAAAGCAACAGCTTTATCCAGCGCAAGGCGCCAAGGACTTGCCCAATCGCAAGCTCCAACAACTCACCTTGAGGCCTGCTCCTGGTTCTCCATGAAGGCGAGCTCCCACTTGCTCACGCGCTCCATCGCCGCGTACCCGCCCGTCGCGAACGCGCGCAGCAGGTTCAGCGTCGCCGCCGCCTGGCTGTACGCCTTCACCAGCCGCTGCGGGTCGGGCACGCGCGACTCGGGTGTGAAAGCGTCGCCGTTGATGTTGTCGCCGCGGTACGACGGCAGGCTCACGTCGCCGCGCGTCTCCAGGGGGTCGGAACGCGGCTTGGCGAACTGCCCCGCCATGCGCCCAACCTGCCCTCGGAAATGGCGCGGGGGGAGGTGGGGGGAAGGGGGAAGGGGGAATGAGGAAGGGGGAAGGGGGAGGGGACGGGGAGGAGGGGACGGAAAGAGATTCTGGATTAGAAAGGGGACAGCGAGGAAGGTGGGGCAGCGACAGATTGGGAAAAAGGTACAACTTCAAATCAACTATAAGCCCATGCAGTGTACTAGAGGTATGATGAGTCACGAGAAGGCCGCTGCGATGTCCGCGGTGCTGCCCACGTGACGGCACGAAAACGCGACGACCGCGTGAACGTGAGATAACCGAAGCGGGAGCGCCGAACCACCAACGGAGAGTGACTAGGGACAAACGAAGGGCTGCAGACAACGTTGGGTTCTCTTCATATTTTCGATTCACCTCGCACGCCTTTGTCTTTTGCTTCTCCGCATCATTCCCTGACAACGAACATCCACGCGCTTTTCTTGCCAACTTCCGTCTCTGCACAAATGACCGTCCTCTACGCGCGTCTGACACTGCTGGCCGTTATCTGCGCGAGCCTGACCTTGATGACTTTACGACGGCATCTCACCTTGACAACGACATCTGCGCGCGCCGTAAAAGATGACGGAATCGCAGCTTGATGACGTCAGCTCACCTCGGTGACGTCAGCTCACCTTGATGACGTGAGCTCACCTTGATGACGGGCATCTGGCCGCCGAAGGTGAGGACGACGGCCATCTGCAGCAGCACGCGGAAGGTGTCGCGGATGTTGTCCGCGCGGAACTCCTTGAAGCTCTCCGCGCAGTCGCCGCCCTGCCGGAGGAACGGGGAGGGGAGTCAATGAAGAGGGGGAGGGGTAAGTGGCGGAGTCGAGGTAAGGCGAGCAGTCACAAGAGGGAAACAGAGGAAGCGGGAAGCGATGGGACAACGACGGAGATCCAAAAAGGAAGGAAATATGACACCTTTGGCTGATTGACACTTTCAAAAGAACGTGACGGATCGAGGGTGCTGACCAAAAGAAAAGACGCGGCCTTTGACAGTAAATCCCTGCTCAAGCTCAAGCTCGCCGACTCGCGGTCGCCAGTCACGTCCTCACCTGCAGCAGGAACGCCTTCCCCAGAGCCGCCTCCCCCAGCTTCTCCTCCAGCGCGCGCGCCTCGCCCGCGAACACCAGCGGCGGGCACCGCTCGAGCTCCTCGAGCGCGGCGGCGAGCGCCGCCTTGTCGGGGTACTCGGGCTGCTGCCACGCCTTGCGCGTCTGCCAGCTGCCCGGCGACCACGGCTCCGCCGGGCTCGACGACGCTTTAGGCACCGTTAGCGGCGGTTCGGCCGCCTGCACGCATCGCGGCGCGAGTTGCGCGTGCGATGGAGCGCGAGACGCGGGAGACCTAACGGGCAGCGACTGTGCAATGTGCGACTTGCTGCCGAGGGCCCGCGGAGTGAGCGCCGAGATTGATGCGGAGGCGGTTGCCGCCTTGGGCAACAGAACAGCGTTTAGACTGGCCATTGCGCGCCGCGGTACAGTACACCTGACAGCTCGATGGAAGTTATGGCGCGACAAGCCAAGGTTGGATGAAGGGAAGGTACGGTACGGATGTGAGTACGTCTATTCAGGCGGATGGGCTTGCCTCCGCATGAAAGAGTGATGAGGGGATATGGAAAGTGAAAAGGCCCGAGGCGAGGACAGAACAGTTATTACAGACCTGGGCGTGGAATCGAGAGGGCTTTACGGAGGTGAATGGGGGGTTGGATGGGAGGGGGAATTCCCCCAGTTATTCGTGACAGGGGCTTCGACTGGAATTGGCCTCTCAACCCAAACTGCAGCGCCGCTGCCTGCGCGCCCAAGGGCGCACCACCTCTGGCGGAACGCGCTCGAGGTTGGCAGCATGGGCGGGTTTCCTCCGCACCTCGGTGCTACACCCGCACCCTTCCCCCCACACCCTCAAGCATTGGGTTGGGAAGGGAAAGGTGTCTTGTACAGCAGCATCACACCCGCAGAACTCCCTCCCGTCCCAGATCTTTCCGCAGCAGATTGTTTGTCGGGGAAGCTCAAAGATGCCAGTCCGACGTGGACGCCTGCAGCCTCGATGTTGGGCCAAGGGTGGGGGAAACGACTGCCAACGAGCCAGCTAGTCACGATCCCGTCTCCACGTGTAGGCGCCGGAGCTGCTTTCCTCCAGAAAAGCGCCGCCGAGGCTGTCCCTCCTGGGACTTGGGATACATAAGAGCTCTCCCTAATTTCGGTATGGGAACATTCCTTCCTTCGCGTCACACTGCCTACCGCGTACAAGTCTAATCCCTCCACTAAACACACAACAGTAGTCTGTTACCACCTCGCGACATTCGCATCTACATTGCCCGCCATCGCACCCAAACCACCCGGCTCGGATGGTAACACGCGGCCGGCCCTGCGCCTCGACATTTTCCGCACCGCAGCGCGAGTGTCAAATCATATTTACGTATATGCTAGACAAGTTAGGCCACCGTGAGGTACATAGTATAGTGTATAGTATTTATCTCGACATTCTTACTTGCACCCTTTTTCCAACCATTATAATCATTTCGCTAAGTGCTACTTTGAGCTATTAACATCGCTAGTTAGTATTTAGGAACCTAACCCACCGCTCGGTCCGCCTTACTGTCCTTAGCGCGCATGTCGGCAGCCTCTCAAATTACCCCAGTGGGTCCCCCGGTTTGCCCCTTTTACAACCCCCAGGGGTCCCCTTGTCGCCCTGTAGACGACCCTCGAAGGCCCCTTGATTCGCGCCCCGAAGGCCCCCTCCTTTTCGCGCCTCGAAGGCCCCCTTTCGCGTCCCGTAGGGCCCTCGATGTGCGCCCCGCACGTCCTCTGCGGCCCCTTGATTCGAGCCTCGCATAGCCATCGCCGTGCCGTTTGTCGCGCTCCTGCCATCTGTCAAGTTTGCGTCGCTCGTCGCGCTACTACTGCCTAATGCATCGCTGCCTTAGGTCGCTGCCAGCGGCTAGTTTGCACATACGCCAGCTATGCGCGCAGCCGTTGTGATGCGCCAGTATCTAAGTTAGGCCACCGCTAGCGCGCACGCAGCTGCAGCAGCACGCTGTAATACGCCAATAGCAAGTTAGGTTTCCGCCAGCGCGCTAGCAACTGCAGTGGCCGTTGCCCCTACTTACGCTGCCCCTACTACTGCCTCACCTCGCGCGCCAGCACCAACTCCCGACGCATAGCAGCAGCTAGCGCGCGGCCTCCGTAGCCACTGCATACCAGTGCAACCAGCAGCAGCAGCAGCAGCAGCAGAAGCAGCGGCAACGCACTAGAGCCATCAACAGCCACCTACTACCACCCACAGCTGCATACTGTCAGAGACTAATGAGCAGGAATGACTGCATTGAATGAATCGTGGGTACAAGTACTAACCCTAACATTGGGTTGTATCCCATATGGGCTACCCCACTATAGCCTACACAGAGCTAGCACAAATATAGTTTGACACACCCCCATAGGCAAAGTGGGGGAGAAGAAGGGGTCACAAGGCCAGTAAAAAATGTTGGGCTGAGAAAAGCCCTTAGGATCTTTCAAGGCTAGAACTCTCCGTAGGAATATTGTAACTGCGGAAACGTTTAATGACAAATGTTGAACCACCTTGCGCTAGTATGTGAGGGCAAAATAGATTGATTATAGAAAAGTAATACAAGCTTTCATAGGATTACAAGGAATATGAAGGGATGCAATAACCGCTTTACTGTTGCTGTTGCGGTTCGATACAGTGACGACTCAGGCAACTGCTCAATAACGAGTCAGTTGTTTGTCCTTGCTGTCGTGCTGTATTTGTCGCTTGACCTTTGACCTTCGCGTAACCTCTAGCAGTTACGTTCTGTCAACCTCTTTGGTTGACTCACCGTTGCTTCGTTGTAGTTCGCTTCGTTTTCAGTTCGATGTTCCGACCCATCAGGAGCGTTTAAGTTACTTGCTTCCAACACTCCCCTTCGCTTCTGGAGTGTCGTTGTTGGTGACGTGGCCTTGTCCAGTCAGCAGCATGCAGTACTTGAACTTCTGCTTTCCGAGCTTCTTGGTCAAGTAACCGGCTGCCATCTCAGACGTGGGGCAGTAGGACAGCTCGAGTCTCCCCTTCTCGATCTCGTCTTTCACGAAGAAGTATCGCAGGGCGATGTGCTTCGTCCTGTTCACGAATCCGTTCTTGTTCGCTATGCGAATTGCTGACTGGTTGTCGCAGAACAGGGAGAAGCTGGGTAACTGGGCTAGCTTCGCTTCTTCCAGCAGTTCGCGAAGGTACAATCCTTCTTTGGTGGCTGAGCAGAGTGCGATATATTCTGCTTCAGCTGAGGAGAGAGCGATTAGTTCATGTTTGTTCAACTGCCACGAGATAGGTCCGATAGGCTCGAGTCGGTAGATGTAGCCGGTGCGTGAGCGCCTGTTGTCAGAATCGCCAGCATGATCAGCATCGACGTAGCCGATTAGCTTGGGCGTCATGGTTCCGGTCTTGTGGTAGGTTAGGCCGATTGTTGGGGTGCTGACGAGGTAGTGGAGTGCGCGGTCGAGCTCCGCCATGTGCTCTGCTTCAGGTTTCTTGAGGTAGGTGGCGAGTTGGCTTGCTGAGTACGATAGACCCGGTCGGCAGGTGACGGCTGCGAAGAGGAGGCATCCCAGCTTTCGCTGGTAGTCGCGTATGCCGGCGGGCTTGAGCGGAGCAGAGGTTTCCTTGTGATTTCCGGCGGTGTAGCGATATGGCGTGGAGATATCGGCGGGGTTAGTCCGAAGCGCTTGACGATGGTGTTAGCGTATTTCGCGGCGCTGAGGTAGATCGCGTTCTCCTCTTCTTGTATGTTGAGCCCGAGGTATTGCGTCATGGTAGAGGAGACGGTGAGTGTGAGATCCTGCTGCAGCTCCCCTTCGAACCAGGTTGTGATGCTGTCGGTTAAGCCGATGTAGAGCAGATCGTCCACATAGACGATGAGCAGAATGTAGTCGCTGCCTTTAGTGAGTCGGTACATACCCTGGTCGTGCGGTAGTTGGCGGAATCCGATCCGGATTAGTCGGATGTGTAGGTACTGCTGCCACAACCTCGGAGCTTGCTTGATGCCGTACAGAGACTTTAGCAGCTGACAGACTTGGTTGGGGCCTGCGTTGGAGCCGTGCAGTTGCTTGACGAAAATCTCAGCATCGACGTCGATTTGTCGGAGCTTCTTCCGCTTCATGGCGGCTATCGTGAGGAGAATCCGCAGTGAGGTGTGCCGGCTGACCGGTGCGAACGTCTCGGTTAAGTCTCGTCCGCGCTTTAAACTTGTCGATGGTTCCATCTGCCTTTGTTTTCACGCGGAAAACCCTGCAGCCTCGATGTTGGGCCAAGGGTGGGGGAAACGACTGCCAACGAGCCAGCTAGTCACGATCCCGTCTCCACGTGTAGGCGCCGGAGCTGCTTTCCTCCAGAAAAGCGCCGCCGAGGCTGTCCCTCCTGGGACTTGGGATACATAAGAGCTCTCCCTAATTTCGGTATGGGAACATTCCTTCCTTCGCGTCACACTGCCTACCGCGTACAAGTCTAATCCCTCCACTAAACACACAACAGTAGTCTGTTACCACCTCGCGACATTCGCATCTACATTGCCCGCCATCGCACCCAAACCACCCGGCTCGGATGGTAACACGCGGCCGGCCCTGCGCCTCGACATTTTCCGCACCGCAGCGCGAGTGTCAAATCATATTTACGTATATGCTAGACAAGTTAGGCCACCGTGAGGTACATAGTATAGTGTATAGTATTTATCTCGACATTCTTACTTGCACCCTTTTTCCAACCATTATAATCATTTCGCTAAGTGCTACTTTGAGCTATTAACATCGCTAGTTAGTATTTAGGAACCTAACCCACCGCTCGGTCCGCCTTACTGTCCTTAGCGCGCATGTCGGCAGCCTCTCAAATTACCCCAGTGGGTCCCCCGGTTTGCCCCTTTTACAACCCCCAGGGGTCCCCTTGTCGCCCTGTAGACGACCCTCGAAGGCCCCTTGATTCGCGCCCCGAAGGCCCCCTCCTTTTCGCGCCTCGAAGGCCCCCTTTCGCGTCCCGTAGGGCCCTCGATGTGCGCCCCGCACGTCCTCTGCGGCCCCTTGATTCGAGCCTCGCATAGCCATCGCCGTGTCGTTTGTCGCGCTCCTGCCATCTGTCAAGTTTGCGTCGCTCGTCGCGCTACTACTGCCTAATGCATCGCTGCCTTAGGTCGCTGCCAGCGGCTAGTTTGCACATACGCCAGCTATGCGCGCAGCCGTTGTGATGCGCCAGTATCTAAGTTAGGCCACCGCTAGCGCGCACGCAGCTGCAGCAGCACGCTGTAATACGCCAATAGCAAGTTAGGTTTCCGCCAGCGCGCTAGCAACTGCAGTGGCCGTTGCCCCTACTTACGCTGCCCCTACTACTGCCTCACCTCGCGCGCCAGCACCAACTCCCGACGCATAGCAGCAGCTAGCGCGCGGCCTCCGTAGCCACTGCATACCAGTGCAACCAGCAGCAGCAG